AAGACTCCCTAACTCATCTTTTGGTGCACTAACCAGCAATCTTATTCTGGGGAATATGTTTGAGGCAAAGTTAATACTTTCTGAGAGGCTCTCTATCACAGCTGCAGAAGAATCAATTTCTGCATTCTAACTTTCAAATGTACTCTTCTTTAAAAGCTGAATTGCATGGGTGGATGACGGTTAGAAGTACCCATCCTGTGATGACCATGACTGTGACAGACATGGAAGGAGGCTGTTCTTCATCAATTCCCTGTCAGTATACTCCTTTACCACTTTACCAAACCAGTCCTTCCCTGAATCATTCCAAGTCCTCGAGGCAGACTTCAGAGGCACAAACCAAAAATGAATAAAAGTGTAGATGCACACTGGGGAGAAAAAGTCCTCGGTATTTGAGTAACAACTCCTTTTGTAAGCCAGGTAATTTCCAATTCTGTATTTAAAAAAAAAAAAAAAAAAGGTGCTCCAAACATGAAAAGACCTATGGGACAGGCATAAATAAATAAATAAAGTAGTGGATTTCAACTTACTTTTTTTTTTTACAGGTACGGGGGACTGAACTCACGACCACACTCATGCAAGGCAGGCGCTTATGCTGATGAGCTAAACCCCCAGCCCCCCAACTTAGATACTTCTTGTTATAAAAAATATGACAGTGATTCATAAAATACCTTCAAGCATAAACAATACAGCATGGAGACAGTATTGTATACAAGGGAAGGCAAATAGAAACATGACTTCAAAGAAATAAAAGTACAAAATGTTTAAGTACTGACCTTTAAAAAATAAGTAAAATCACATGAAAATTTTGCTAATCTTTTGAATGATGCAACAATGTGATTTAAAATGTCAATATTTACGATATGCTGAAAAATTACATTCTTTTCAACTCCTTAAACTTTGGCTAAAAGGTTTTGGGGGCTGGGGATTTAGCTCAGCAGCATAAGCGCCTGCCTTGTAAGCGCGTGGTCCTGAGTTTGATCCCCGGTACCCTCCCCCCAAAAAAGTTTTAGCAATTAACTTAAAATTATGCTTAAGGGGACAGTTTTAGAGATTCCTTTAGGAGCTATAGGAGCAAAGAGTTGGAAGAACGCCGTTCTACACCTTCAAAGGCTTTTCAAGATCAAATAGTGACAGGAAATAAGCAATCTTCCACCTATCCAGTTTTGAGTAAGACACTTACAGGCAGACTTTGAGATTAATATTTCCTCTGTCCTCTTGGTCCTCAACACATTTGCTGGAGTTGGTTCAACAGGCAACAATTTGCAAAACTTATGGTCAGTTTAAACATCACCATAAAATTGCTTATTGGCCTTTTGGCTAAGATCAAGTATCGTATCTGTTTTTATCAGTTTAAATATCACCATAAAGAAATCATGTTTGCTAAAATAAGTACAGTTTGATTTAAACATTACACAACAAATACAAGAATTGAAACATCACATTACCCTGTAATATCTATAATTTTATGCTTTTATGTAACAGTTAAAAATAAAAATGAATTTAAGTAAAATAAATACCTGTTCTTAACTGTATTACTGCCTGGATAATGAGAAAAAAAAAAATCTATTAAACTCCCCAAGAATCACTAGAGTACTTTTCTTCATGTTCTCCAGAAAGACTACTAGGGCAATACCTACAAAGGCTTACGAATTTTGTGTTTATTTTATCCTAAAAAGATAAATTTCACCACTGGGAATGTAAATTCGGTCTAGCTGACATTGCAGGAGTGACACCCCTAATGCAAAGAAGAGCACTCTATATATTGTGTGGTTAATATTTTTAACAGGAGCAAACACAGGAAGGAACTAGCTTAACAGACACATCTGCATATCCTAAGACCCAAATTGTTTTTTCCCCTCTTTTTCTGATTTTGTAACTTCTCTTCTTCCCTGCCCCTCTTTTCAGTCACCCTTCTGGGAAGCAGAAAGTCATCTAAATATGATGGATGACGCCAGCACTTAATTCGGTGTCTACACTGTTTTAAAAATATTGACTTTCTGGTGTTCAAGATCTGAGAGACAGTGAGGCTATTTAGAGCAGCCAGCAGACCTACTCCAAATCTACTCCCCTTTAGGACAAGGAGATGGCAGAACCTGATAAGAGATCTCCAGAGGCACACAGTCTGGAGGAAATTCCACTCCACCTTTAGCAGCTATGAGACCTTCACTAAATTTCCCGGAACCCCAGGTTCCCAAATTCATTACAATGAGGTTGCAAATGATGTGAGAAAATATCCATCAAGCATTTGGAAATACACCCGCACACAGAAGGTATTCAATAATCAAATTACAAAATTAAGATGCGTAATGTCCTTTCACGATAGTTTAAAAACTAGCCAATGGTTTCTTCAGGGCATAATGTCAACTCCTAGCACGTTTTTTGGCTTCTTTCTATCTTCTTTTAAAACAAATGATTTAGAAAATGACTACCTCTCATGTCTAAGTATATGGTGTGCATGTGTGTGCTTGTGCGTAAAAGTATATTGAGATTCTGTTGCTAGCATTCAAAACATGGCAGTGTATCTTTAACATGTTCTCAATAATGCTATTAAACTTGCTTTAAAATAAGCAGAGAATCTATGATTGACTTTTTTTTTTTTTTGGATGCTGGGCATTGAATCCAAGGCCTGGAGGAGGCTAGACAAGCACTCTACAGCCAAGCTACATCCCACAGTTCTTGTATTTTGAGAACTAAATTGCCCATGCTGGCTTTGAACTTTCCATCCTCTCACCTTACCCTCCCAATTAGCTGAGATTACAGGCATGCACCACCACACCTGGCTCATGATTGCTCCACCCAAACTAAACTGCTAAACTAAACTGTCCCTCCCCCCCAAAAAAATTAGCAAAGATTTTAAAAAGAAAAATATTTTAAGGATGTGGGCAGAGTGCTACTCCCACAACGCCCAATTAATATAAATGAGCATAACTTTCAGTCTCTAAATCTAAATTAATGACATGTGTCACAAAGTAGGAATACACTCTAACCCTAACAAGATTTATGTACAACAGTGCTCATCATATCATAACTTGTAATATAAAAAAATTAAACTTATTTTAAAAAATTAAGCAATTTGATGTTTACAACAGGGATTAGGTTATATAGTCTAGCCTTCCCAAAAAACATGTAGCTACTAAAATCCATGCAAATAAATCATATTGAAATGAGATTGTTAACGGAAGAAACGAGGTATAAAGTAGTATTTGGCTATGATTAAGAATTTGGTGATTAAGCGGTAAAAAGAAAAATAAGAGAATTTTACCATAAAGAATTAGAATTACATACAGTTATCAAAATTCATTCCCAAGTTTGAAAGGACACAATGTTGAAACTCACAACCCACGTCCTGATTTTAAAAAGAAGTGTGGGATGAGTACACTGCTGATTCAGATCCTTTTTATGAATGGCAAGGGTAAGAAAGTGGGGAATGAAACTGATATCCAGCTTCTTTAAATTTCCAATTTAATGAAGCTTTGGAGTGACTTTTACACCACATACACCAATGCTCTCTCTCGACTGGCTAAGAAGTTTTGGCAGCCAGCGCAGAGATGAAGGAAGGATGGAAAAGGTGAGGACTGGAACCTGCCAATGTATACAGTTTCACACCATGGAGGAAATGAAACATTGAACATGAACACACAACACACACACACACTGACAGGCGTAGAGAATCAGGCCTGCAGATGAACACTTTCCCACTCCCACTCTAAGCAAAATGCCTTAACATATTCCCCTGGATTTAACAGTCATTGCTATGTGCTCTTCACTACTAGTTTAAAAACTACTAGTTTATTCCCAATACCCACCTCTACCACCACCAACCACACAAACAAGGCTAGCAAGCCTGCCAAGACTGATCTCCAGCTTTTATGAACTTTTCTGCGCTTATTTTCATCAGTCTAATCCAATTCTAAAGAAAAGAAACGGAGTAAAAACTTCTTTGATGTATATGTTTCATGTAGTGTAGTCGTTTACTCTCCCAAAGAGTAACATAGGTGTCTATGACTCGAAATGACACTTTTGTGCTCAGTGCTATTTTGACTTGGCTTGCGTGAGTGGCCACAGCTCTGTTTGCCTGCCTGGGACTGGGCTGCCCCACACCTGAGCAGGCTTCTTTCTTCAAAATCTGAAATCCCATGAAGCCAAGAGCCGCTGATATTACTGGGAACACACACAAAAACTTTCAACTGTCACCTTCTATGCCACAACTCTGGAACTGAAAGGTGTCTACTTGCCTGACAGCTACATATCTGCATATTTGCAGATGTCACACTGCAGAGCAAACAGATGGCGAATGTTTGGTTGATTTCTAGTGGTCAATTTCACAAAATACTCATTTCTCAGTTCTGGGCACAGGCTCCAAATCAATCTGTGTTTCAAGGATTTAATATTTTTTCCAAGCTGGAAATGCTCTGAGCTAATAATTAACCTTAAGCATACCATCACTTCTGCTAAAGACATTTTCTATTCACAGCCCTAAATTACTTTCAGTTGGCTTAAACAAAACAGACAAGCTGTAATAAAAGGTCTCTGAGAAATGTGATCCCTTTCATGGGTCACCCAGGAGCTTTTTTCTCTTCAAACTGCTGCTTCTTGACTAAAGGACATCTATCAAACTGCTACTTGATAAGGACACCTAAAATAAGATGCTACCAGAGAACACCAAGATTTTTGTTAGAAAGTTGCCTAAGACAGCTCACAGCTGCTCAGGGTTTCCCAGTTAGCGTAATTGTTGCAGGCGGCTGGACAGGAATTGCTCGCACCCAAGATTACTATCCGCAGGTTTCCCCTAGGTTTCTTTTTTTTAAGGTGTCCTTTTAAATCACACTGCAACGGCTCGGATTTCCACCTCTCGGGCTCTGCTGGGGGGGGGGGGGGCGAGAGCAATGTGCCTGGGCTGCGACAGCTTTGCAGCCAACTCGGTCGCCCCGGGCGGCAGCCCACTCCCCACCGGTCCCACCCTCCCCGGCACCCACGCGCTCGGCCGCGCCGGGACTCACCGCTGTCCAGCCGCGCGATCTGGGGCAGCCGGTAGGTGCTGACCAGCAGGTCGAGAGGCACGGCCACCGAGCTCCACTTCACATCCTTGAGGCTGCAGCCCAGCAAGGGCGCCGGGTCCATCTCACCCGCCGCCGCCGCTGGCACCAGCGCGCCTCGGCGGCCGCCGCTACTCACACTCGCGGTCTGGGCTGCGCGGGAGGCGCCGGGGGGCGCGGCGGCTGCGGCGGACCCGAGCGAGGGGGCCAATGCCCGGCTCAGCGGCCGCGGCGGGGCATGGCCGGGGCGCCCCGCGCGCCCTCAAGCCCGGAGAGGACTCGGAGCGGCCCCGCGACTGCGGGCAGTGACTCGCGCTCCGCCTCCTCCGCGGGCCCCGGGTCTGCAGCTGCGGCGGCCGCCCGTTCGCCTCCTCCTCCTCTCACCCCTCCTTCCCTCCGCCTCGAGCGTGTGAGGAGGAGCCGTGGGTACGAGAAACGCCATAGCAGCGCTCCCAGCACTGACTAATCAACAAGGTGCGAGCAACGCCTGCGCAGCTCGGGGAGACACCGCCTCCGCTCCGCCTCCGCCTCCGGACACGCCCCCATGGACCACGCCCCCTAGTCAGGCCACGCCCCTAGACGACCCCAGCCAGTTCCCGCCCAGCACCCGACAGGGCTCGGCCCGGCTCGGCGCGGCGTCGGCTTCCGGCGCCCGCGGCAGCGCGCTCCGTAAGCTTTGCTCTCGCTCCCCCATCTGACCGCTCGGGCGCCCTGCAGCCTCACCCGGCGCCTGACTGTCCCAGTGAAGAGCCCTTCCCTGAGCCCGGAATGCAGATGGAGCTCAAGAATCTTCCACCTTGTGCTGGCTCCCACTCCCGCCCAGACCAGAGGTGGCGAATACGGGCATAAAGGGAACCTCCTGTGCTCCCCCTTTTCCGCCGGCTGCTCGGACTGGAGGGAGACGCGAGAGATGGTCGAGATCGGCGAGGCAGATGTTTTCTTCTTGCCTACAGCTCCAGCTTCACAAACGGAGCTGCAAATTGCTCCCATCAGTCTCAGCTTTGGCTGTAGGCAAGACCAAAAGGGCCGAAGCACCAGAAGCAGGAAGGTGGTGGGTGATGAGTACCCGCAAAGGAAGGTGAACACCTGGTTTAAGTACTTCCTGTGTAGAGATGAAGGTACATGAGGCAGAAAGAGAGCTGTTTCCATCTACTTCTCAGTTTTAAAGGGCGGCTAATTCCCATTGTCTAAGTATGTCACGAATACCTTAGGTAATTCTGCAAGATCACACAACTGGATGGCCGTCGTAGGTTGTAAACCCACAGATTGCTTCGTAGAATAAAATTTTTTGCAACATTTTTTTTAGCATGGCCCAGGTAATGGCAGAAATCAGAATATAAATGTGGGTGTGATTCCTGTTCATCCAGGCACATCTTTTTGCGTTCAAATTTTTTATTTTAGCATGATGTTAACCATTTAAGTGGTGAGTGATTGCTGAGGTAAAAGGTTTGTATTTCAGTTCTATTTTCAACACACATTTAATGTTGAAAAAAGACCATCCCATGGAGGCGAAAAGATCCTACAAGCTTTTAGAGGGCTGGTTTAAAAGATCTATGGCAAAGAACTTACAAGTTTATTAGTATTTGCATTTGAAAGGAAACCGCTGAGGGTTTTCTCATTCACCTTCAAGGTCCTCTCACTTTTGAATATTGAAAGAAATGGTTTTTGCAGGATTCTGCTGAAAGTTTGGAGCTTGTGTATTCTTGTTAATTTTTTTTTTTTAATTTTGGGGGCAAAAAGTGAAACGCACTTTAATATATTTTTAACCCAAATTCAAAGGTCCATAGAGTTCTATAATTTGGCAAATAAAGAACAATGTTTCAAAACCGTAAGGAACCAAGTGTCAGCTCATTTTTTCTAAACAACTAAACATTTCTGAAAATACAACTCAGACTCTCCAAAATGAACACTTTTGAAATCAAGCAATGCCAGAGGTCTTTCAACCAGTGAGTAAATCCTACATCCTTATATGGTAAATTGATTTTTTAAAAAACCACAAAATAAAACTTCCTGCTACTATTTTATACTCTTTTCAAAACTCCAGAGAATATGAGAACTCCCACTCACAAAAGGATCAGTGGCTTTTGACCCAGAGACAAGCTAAAAAGGAAAAAGATTAATATAATCAACTTTTTAAAAGTCAATAAAGCTCTTATATTAGATTTGCTTGAATGCTGATCTTGCAGAAAAAGTTTGATTTCAATTTGAGTATTCAAAGAAGAAATTTAGTTAGTAGCAAATTCTTACCAGGTCTAATGTCTGGAAGGAACTCCTCCTAGAGATTTTAACTGTGAGACAGAATTTTGGTTAAACTATGACAAAACAAAACATTAACAGCTAACTGTAATCTTTCAATCTGAATAGTAGTTTTAAACATGTTTCTGAAGGTTTTTGGACCTGTGCAAACCATGGATACAAACACATAATGATTATTTGGATTTTAAATGTTCTCCAAAGTAACAGAAGGGCCCCTTGGCCCTGTCCTCATCCTCTGCATTGTGCCCTTGAGCAGTTTTTGGTCCATTATGCTCTCCTGCATAATATGCTGCCTCCCCATAAGCCCAAATTAGGGCTTCCAAAACTGTGAGCCAAAATGAAATTTCTCTTTGTAAGGTGATTGTTTCAGGTAAAGAAAAGCTGACTGACTAAAATTTACAATACTGAATTTTGCAGTTTGTGAAAAAGAAACATCTAGGAGAACTAAGACAATGTTTAATATCCTGGTCTTTTGCTTCTTCTCAGTACCCTTATAAACAGATTTGTGGGAGGCAGCATATTTTGGTTATTAAAATATGGGCTCCAGAACCCAATTGCTTGAGTTGGGCTAGTGACTATACTCCTTTTCAAAATCTTGGGAAACTTAGGATTTCAAATTTGTTTGAATGTGGGGATATTCTCATATCCATAATAAGGTATTCTGGCAAATAGAATTCAAGCCTAAAAACAAAAATCATTTGTAGTTCATGTATACCTTATACGCATAGCCTGAAAGTAAGTGTTTTCCAGTGCTAGAGATTGAGCCAGGGATTTGTACATCATAAGCATGCTCTCTTCCTCTGAGCTACATTCCCAGCTCCTGAAGGTAATTTTGCACAGTATGCTTAGTGTGCCTCCGTTTTGACTGTGATCTGTCACATAAGGTCAAGAATAGAATTTTCCACTTGTGGTATCCTTTCAAGGCTCAAAAATTTCAGATTTTGGAGCAGTTTGGAGTTTTTGGATGAGGTTTCTTAATTATTATTAAAAGAACTACTGACTTTGAAGAAGCAAAATTTAGAGTAAAAATGAAGAGACAGGGTCAGATGTAAGGAAATAATTACTTCTTGGAAAAATATTTATTTCACTCATAGGTATGGAGTAAAGGACTAAAGGAACATATCCTCAAATAGGAAGCCCAGATATAGGTCTTCACTCCCCAAATCTAGACTCTGGGATTGACATTCTTCCCAGCGTTCATGTGGGTTGTCCATATGCTACAAGAACAAAGTCACTGAGAGGCCCAAGACTAAATCAAGCAAAGAATACTGTAGTATTCATATGATGGACAAAGGCCCAGCTTTCTAACTGTGAGTCTACTATTTATACATAAATAGCTTGTCAATTGTCTTCATTATCAGCCTTGCCTGATAAAAATGTTACATTTTGGGTTTCCTCATATCAGAGTGTCCAAGGTCACATAATACCCTAGCGGTCAAGAGTGCTATCAAAGTTCACAGCCCTAGTGGTTTTTGAGGGCTTCCAAGTATTTTTTTTCCTCTCAATTAATGTCCATGCTATCACCTGAGTTAATCTAAAAGTCACTTCTGGCTAAAACCTTGTGAAGTATCTGTTTCCTTATTGTCAATAGAATAAAGTACAAAGCCTTTTACACGCCATGAAGGATTCTTCTCTTATGTGACTGGGTCGGCCACCCAAGCCTTGCTTCTGTTGCTGCCTCTGGCATCCTGTGAGCCAGTCTAGTTACTTGCTGTGAAACATCTATTCCTGCTCCAGCCTCTTGCAGTCTATGGAATGCTGGATGTCCTCCAAGGAGACCCATTTTTCTGTGGTATCTTTGTACCTGGCAATACCCCTCTTACCAGTTTTAATTGCACTAGGATTTATTATCTGTTTTCTTTTAGCTTTCCCTACTTGACACCAATTAGCTGTAGCCTCTGAATGTATAGTTTATTCACCTCTGTTTCTGTAGCTCCTGCTCCCATGCCTGGCACAGGAAAAGCACTCAATTAATGTTTGTCAAATTGAGTAATCAATGGACTGAGTCATCTTTTCACTCTATATCATTTCATAGGTCACTGAATCTCTTTATTATACTTCATCAAGTCTAGATATTTTCAAGATTTTTAACATCCAGGCTCCCATAGATCATGTTTGGATTTCATTGAAGAGTAGATCCGTCGTCTTACCAAACTAGAGATTATGCTATTGCAACACTTATTAAAACTGTTAAGATACTTACTGTTTGTTACTTCTTTACAGACTCCCTGACTAGGACTTTACCCTTCCAAAGGTCATGCTTTGTTATTTTAGTCTCCCTAGCACTGAGCATATAGCTTAGTGTTATATGTTTGTATAAGTGTGTGGATATCTGTATATAGGGGAATGGTTAGATAAAAGTACCATAAGGAAGCGCATGCCAGGTAGATACTTCAGAAAGGTTTTAAAAATATTTCAAAAATTGACTTGTGATCACTCCCTTCCTTGCTTTTGATATAATACATGCCTCTCTTAAGTATATCACTACATAAGACAGATACTGCAGAATGACAGAAAAATAGTAAGGAAAAACACAACTTGTGAATTGGATTTTATAGGAGTGTTGTTTGCTCTCAAAATGATACCTAAGAAATCTCCATTCAAGAAAACATACCTGGGCTGGGGATATGGCTCGGTGCCCAACTGGCAAGCACGAGGTTGATTCCCAGTACAAAACAAAACAAATATCAGGATGGGTCTGATGATGCGTCCCTGTAATTCCCGTACTCTGGGAAGCTGAAGCAAAAGGATAGCAAATTCCAGCCCAACCCAAGCAGCTCAGCAACTTAGCAAGACACTCTCTCAAAATAAAAAATAAAGGGCTGAGGTTCAACGGAAAAAAAAAAAAATTGAACATTTAAGTCAGGCATGGTCACGCACCCCTGTAAACCTAGCACTCGGGAGACTGAGGCAAGAGGATCACCATGAGTTCAAGTCCACCTGAAATATATAGTGATATCTTGTCTCACGAATAAATAAGTAACAAAAAAGAAGACACATTTCACTGAGAACCAATACATATATAATTGCAAAAAGTCATAAAATGATGCTTATTTACATATTTATAGTAAAAACTACATCTTGATCTTTAACCTGTTCATTTTATTTTTTTGATACCTGACCGGCGCAGCCCCCCAATGAGACAGGAGACGCTTCAGGTGGTAACAGGAACTGCTGCTTTATTTACGCGGGCTCTGGTTTATATATTTGGCCGTGACCAATCACAGGCTGCCACA